AAAAAAAAAAAAAAGAGACAGGGTTTCTCCATGTTGGTCAGGCTGGTCTCGAACTCCAGACCTCAGGTGATCCGCCTGCCTCGGCCCTTCCAAAGTGCTGAGATTACAGGTGTGAGCCACTACGCCTGGCCTAATTTTTGTATTTTTAGTAGAGACAGGGTTTCACCATATTGGTCAGGCTGGTCTCGAACTCCTGACCTCATTATCCACCCACCTCAGCCTCCCAAAGTACTGAGATTACAGGTGTGAGCCACCACGCCCAGCCTCAGGGTTTTTTAATACACCTCTTCCTTTTGCACCTTCCCAGAATCCACAAACACGTCAGAGCTGCGGATTTGCCGAATCAACAAGGAGAGCGGACCGTGCACGGGTGGCGAGGAGCTCTACTTGCTGTGTGACAAGGTGCAGAAAGGTGAGGGGCCTGGGGCAGCAAGCTGGGGCAGAGTGGGGTCTGGCAGCTCAGAGGGGTAGCCAGCGAGCCCGGGAGGGTGAAAGGATGAGTTAGAGCAGGTTAACCGGGGCACCAGAGAGCACGGGTCCAGAACGCTGTCTTTGCAGTCAAACAGATCCAGCTGCTGGGTTCATTCATTCCCCGAGTGGCCTGCTCACCCGACTGTGTAGGAAGATGGAGGCTCGTCTGTGGTGGCCCATGCTGCATGCTAGGCGGTGCCATCACAGAGCTCACGACATGTCCAGAGGACTGTGAGGTTAAGGGTGGAATTGCATAAATAAACAGTTTATGATGCTTGTGATAAGGGCTATGGGTAAAGCAAACAGAGGACAGGAGAAAACAGAGGACAGAAGAAGCAGCTCCACTTCATTCACATCTGTTCAAATGTCCCTTCCTCAAAAGCAGCTCAGGTGCGGTGGCTCATGCCTGTAATCCCAGCCCTTTGGGAGGCTGAGGCGGGCAGGTCACTTGAGCTCAGGATGGAGACCAGTCTGGGCAACATGGTGAAACACCATATCTACTAAAAATACAAAAACTGGCCAGGCGCAGTAGCTCATGCCTGTAACCCCAGCACTTTGGGAGGCCGAGGCAGGCGGATCACCTGAGGTTGGGAGTTCAAGACCAGCCTGGCCAACATGGCAAAGCCCCATCTCTACTAAAAAACACAAAAATTAGCTGGGTGTGGTGGCATACGTCTGTAATCCCAGCTACTCGGGAGGCTGAAGCAGGAGAATTGCTTGAACCTGGGAGGCCGAGGTTGC